CATGAACAAAAATTTGAATTTCTGCTTCTTTGGTTAACGAAGACGCTAAGTCCCCCGCTCTTCCAGTCCCCCACTCCTTGATGCGAGTGTAATGAGGTGAAGAGGAGTAGAGTAATGCGTGTCGGATGATGTCTTCAACAGGGGGTCGAGGGTTGACACCTTTTGATCCACGATGGGGAGATGCATCGTTAAAAACCTCATTAGGAAAAACCCTGTGGGAAAAAATCCTAATGAGGGAAAAAGAGTACACCGGATGCCCCCAAAATGAAACAAAAGGTGCGAACCCTTCGGCCTGGAGATGGAGCTGCAACGGTGCCCGTCTGCTGGGGCGATGGTCGAGGCCGGTCCTCGTATGTGCGTAGCTCCGCATGATAGGTAATCCCAGTCATCAAATAAAGATGACTAAGAGATAGGTCGAGTGACCGTCCATAATATGATGTCCGGGTCATCAAATAAAGTGACCGAGACGTGTGGCCGAGAGGTCTATAAGAAGTCCAAGCCATCAAATAAAGATGACCATGAGAGACAGCTAAGTGGCCGGTATGATGTCATCATATAGTTGCACCTATGCATTCAAATAAAATTGTTATAATTTCTTTAGCTTATAATTTGCTATTGGATTGGGGCCTAAATCAAGTTGCCTCAAATTTCCAAGCTGCAGCTCAAGCTAGGTTTCTATGCTTAGTTGGAGTGTGGCACGCATAAAGGACTGAACCTACCGCTGAGGGATTGCAGTTCATTTCCGATAGCTAGATGACACACATAACTCATACAAAACATAGAAACTAAAGTATGCATTAGATAACATTTGGATTGGGAGCTTACTATCCACACTCGTTTGACGTGACCCGGTGGCGCGAGTGTCTGTGCTCGCCCGGTGTACGCGAGTGCTCGGAATTTCATAAGTCCGTTTTTTCAATGTCAAAAAATACACACTATTTAAAAAATAATGATAGTAAATTAATAATCTAGCTCAACTTGTCACTCAAGTTCGTAGCTGGGATCCGCTAGACGCTATTTACGGGTCTTTTCACGGATGACTCGCCCCTCGAGATTGAAGTTTGACGCTATATTATTAAAATATTTCATTTATGACCTTTTGGAAGTCTTCAAAAGTAATGATAGTAAATTAATAATCTAGCTCAACTCGTCACTCAAGTTCGTAGCTGGGATCCGCCAGACATGCGCATTTAAGGGTCTTTTAACGGATGACTCACCCCTCGAGATTAAAGTTTAATGCTATATTATTAAAATATTTCATTTATGATTTTTTCCGTAATAATTTTTTATCAAATATGTTCATATATGGAGATAATTTAAGAATACTTAGCTTTTGGAATTGGGCTGGAATAATGGGCCAGATTCTTCAATAATTTTGACTGAGCTTCCGGCAGCTTTCATTCCCGGCAAGTGGGCAGCTTTGCCTGCGACTGCGAGGCTTTGACCAAGACAAAAGAGGCGACGTGGCCCTTAACCAGTCGTCTTTGCTTCACCTGGAGAGGGGAGAACCCAGTTCCGGGTACCGCTAGACAGAAACGGAATGTCCTCGAAGGTCACACATGACGGATCTCTACGGTCGTCACTGGGGAAGAAGGAACGACCTCCGTCCAGGGCTGTCTACGATCAGAGACGAGCTAGCTGCGGCGGAGTCTGGAGACGTCGTAACTAAACAAGTGGCGAGGCTGCGACTTGTTGGGTGGCGAGGTGTGAGAGCCTGTTTCAAGCGGCGTCCGGTGGGGCCTGCCGGCGCTGCGCCTGGGTAAAGGAAAGACCGGAGAGGGGCGCTGTTGTGACGACAGTGGAGGCCATAGCGAGTTTCTGGCTCCCTGCTTCCTTGAATGATTTGAACCCGAAACGGGAGCGGCGCAGTGACTCAGCGGGCAAAGACCGGCCTCCTGCTAACAGTGTGGTGCCATGAATAGTGACATCGCCTTCGACTGATTATATCAGTCCGCAAGGTCATCACTTGGTGATAGCATAAATGGCATAAATAATTCTAGGGATATATCCAAACAAAGTGAGCAGTAAGAATATCTAGGCAATTTGCTGTGCTCATTTTTCTGAAGTGCGCGCTGCCGAATATGTTGAGACTGGCTGGCAGGTGTAAATGAACTGCAAGAGAGGGAGTTAGTTCTGTAGCGACGATAGTGAGAGCCGGAGTAGCGACAAACAGATCAGGAGCGCTGGTGGCGAAGTCCGAAACGGAGGTGAGACCCAGAGCAGAGACAGCCCAGCCTCATCCAACAGCACCCATCGACGGCCGGAAGATCTGGAGCAGCGGCAGGGAGGTCCGGAGCAACAGCGGCGACTCCAGCAAATAGCTCACGCCGGCGGCTACAGTTCCGGCTCAGATCAGGATTCTTCCAGATCTGAAATTCCAGCTTTTTCTTCTTTGATTTTCCATGAATTTCTAGAATATCTTTGACTGATTTCTTCATTTTCTCTTTTTTCCAGAACACTTTTTGGTTGATTTTTTGTGATTTGGATGAGTTTTTGGAGATTTTGGGAGGAATCTAACTTGATTTTGCTCTAATCTCTCAATGAAAGCACCATTGATGGATTATAGGGTATCCAAAGTATATTAAAATGGAGAGATTGAGCTAGATAATTGGAGAAGATGAATAGTAAGGATGATATTGTGTATGAATTATGAGTTAGGAAAAGTTAGGTTTACAAATGGCTCCAAGAGGAGTATAAATAGGGAAATAATGGGCCGGACCGCTAATATGGGCCCGGTAGCCCTACTACATAAAAGACTAATCTAGTACATAGTTACATACAAATGACATATAAGCAGTACAATAATACAAATGATATCCGTAAGATGTGTGTGGGCCGCTGTCCGGGCCCAATAGTCGTGAGACCCGGGGGTCCGAGTCTATATACTCTATCAATAATATATTACACATGTTATTTGATATGACTGTTTTGATGCATGTAATATCAGATTTGAAGTTGACCGAGGCTGAGATTAAGAATTATGCATTGACTGAAATAGAAATGATGTTAAGGAGAATTGGTAGGACTTTAAAGGACTATCCATCGATGCCATTTCCAACGATAAGTGATGCTACCATGTATCAGAACAGGCTTATTTTTGACGAGTTACAGTACGATCGTGCTGCCCTGCGTGAAGAGCATGACAGATGCATGCAGAGTCTCAATGATGAACAACGTCAAGTGTACATAACCATTATGCAATCTGTTGAACAAAATAATGGTGGGGTGTTCTTTGTATATGGTTATGGAGGTACAGGGAAAACATTTGTGTGGAAGACGTTGTCGGCTGCTTTGAGGTCCAAAGGAGAAATTGTTTTAAATGTTGCTTCGAGCGGCATAGCAGCTTTGTTGTTACCGGGTGGTAGGACGACACATTCACGCTTTGCAATACCAATCAACCCAAATGAAAACTCCACATGCAACATCAAACAAGGTAGTCCACTGGCTCAATTGATAATTAGATGCAAGCTGATCATATGGGATGAGGCGCCGATGATGCACAAGTATTGCTTCGAAGCCTTAGATAGAAGTCTGCGGGACATCTTGAGATTCACTAATACAAATAGTGCTGAAAAACCCTTTGGTGGGAAAACAGTGGTCTTCGGGGGAGACTTCAGACAAATTTTACCTGTCATTACTAAAGGTACTAGACAAGACATTGTGAATGCCACGATTAATTCTTCGTATATTTGGCATGAGTGCTTGGTATTACGTTTGACAAAGAACATGAGGTTGCAATCATTGACTGATGATCGTGAGTACGAAGATTTGCTTGAGTTTGCTAAGTGGATTGCGAGTTTAGGGGACGGGATTGTTGGGGAAGATAATGATGGTTTTGCTAATGTTCAGATTCCAAACGAGTTTTTGCTAGAGTGTGGAAGTGACCCCATTGCCACTATTGTCCAAAACACCTACCCAAACTTTGAGAGTATTGTGAATGACCCGACTTACTTGCAAGAGCGCGCAATTCTAGCTCCAACCCTTTATGTTGTCGATGCAGTTAATGAATACATGACTTCTATGAATGTTAATGAAGAGTCAAGGACATATCTAAGTTCAGATAGCATTTGCAAGTCAGACTCGAATGCCGATTTTCTGGCTGATTTGCATACTCCAGAGTTTCTAAACAAAATACGTGCATCCGGAGTCCCAAACCATGAGTTGACCCTAAAGGTTGGTACTCCAATAATGCTTTTAAGGAATATTGATCCTTCCATGGGGCTTTGCAATGGAACAAGGTTAATTGTTACAAGACTTGGAAATCATATCTTAGGGGCAAAAATTATGGGCGGGAAATATGCCGGGCATGAAGTTGTCATTCCGAGGTTAAGCTTAACTCCTTCGGATTCAAGAATACCATTCAAGTTTCAGAGAAGACAATTTCCGGTCATGACCTCTTATGCGATGACTATAAATAAAAGTCAGGGACAATCTTTGTCTCATGTTGGACTTTTACTGAAAAAGTCGGTCTTCACGCATGGTCAGCTGTATGTTGCAGTGTCAAGGGTAACAAATCCTAAGGGTCTGAAGATATTAATTTGCGATGAAGACGGTCAATCAACTAACCATACCACCAATGTAGTTTATAAGGAAGTTTTTCGTAATGTGTAGTTTGTGAAGTCCTGTTACCGTTTACTTTTTCCAACTTATTCCAAATATACTTACTACTTATCTCTGAGTCTTTGTTATCCAATCTTAAATCATAATTTAGTATACGTGTTAAGTTTATGACAATTTGCTTTCGTTTCACTTAGCCAAATAGCAATTACAAATAATGTCGTATCACTATTACATTTTAATATTCCGCGCATCGCGCGGGTGAGAATCTAGTGTTATAAATGACTAAATAAGTGGGTTTTCGTTACTAAAACTAAACAGAAAAATCATTTTATCCCGTGCACGGGTGGGAAAACGGGTACAGGAACCACGGGCCGGATCGGGCAATACGGGTTTGGGGCGAGTTAGGGTCGAGTCCTATACTCGTCAACTGATGATCAAAGTGTACAGCTCGTAGCTTGTTGCTCACTCAGTGAGTTACTCAGAATCCCATACTCGTTAGAGAAAATCCCCGCCATGAGAGCATAAGCAATGCATTCGAGGATAGGGTTTGTCTTGGCGTACACCAGAAGAACCTCATCTTCACTGTTCTCCGCTATTTTGCCGTACGCTGCTACCCACGAATTACGAGTAGTTGGTTCACGTTTCTGCCGGCGAGCCTTACTTTCAGGCGACAGTGCAAACTTAAGCGGCTTCCATTTGGCCGTATCCTGGCATTGGGAACGCCAATTTAGTAGCTACGCGTTTGAGCAGTTCTCCGATGATGAATACGAATGCGACTTTGAGACTCATCCTGTTAGTACCAATTCGTCAGACTTCCCCTCTTTTACATTTTCTTGTTTTATTATTAGAAAGATAACAGCTTTTATGTAATCTTGAAGTTCTGAATTTCGTAACTGTAGAAAATATTGCTCTGCAGCATTTTAGTAACTTTTGTGCATATCTTTTATTCAAGCTTCTCTTTTATTTCACTAACTTGCATGTTCAAGGAATGAATTAGGCATTGTTGTTTGGCAAAAGTGTTTGTCATCGTCGTCATCATCATTATTATTACTACTATTACTACAATCACTATAAAGTTGGATATTGACATTTTCAAACATATGAATGGAGTTAGCAATATGTTTAATGTTAATGCTAAAAGAAACAAAGATAATATTTTTAGTCATGTAGATCAGAACTATGAAGATATATGATTACATAAGCTAGAATAAAATGCAGGCATCATCATCCGTGGCCAATATTGATGAGTGGAAATGGAAGCTAAGCTTACTCTTGGGCAGTGAGGACCACGAAGTTGTATCCAGAGATAAAAGGGATAGACGCGACTATGAACAAATTTCTAATCTTGCCAAAAGGATGGGCCTCTACAGGTATGTTTTTAGCCTTCTATTTTGTGTTGCTTCTTGTTAATGTTGCGCCAATTGGATAATCTTACAGACTCCGTTTCCTTTTTCCAGTGAAATTTATGGTAAGGTAGTGGTCATAAGCAAAATTCCTCTCCCCAACTATAGACCAGATCTTGATGACAAGCGGCCCCAAAGGGAGGTAAACTTAACTCATATCTGAAAAGAGTGTAAAGCTGAGCTTTTAAGGGAATGAAGGTCAAATCACATTGCTCGGAGACACCTCTGGGAAAAAAGAAAGATATACATAAATTTGAAAATCAGATTTATTGGTCATAAAATATTGGTACTGAAAATGCAGTCATTTTGTCTATCCTAACAAAATTTTCAAAATATTAAATTACAGTTCTTCAAGATGTATGCCTCAAGGCATGCTTCACTGCGAATGGGAGCTAAAATGCCTTGAGGCTTAAGCCTCAATGTTTTGTCTAGGAACATAATCCTTGTGTGGCTGTCCAGGGTTCAGCCTCATTTTTACCAAGTGAATGGTCCTGCAAATCTTTAGAATCAAGCTTTATTTCACAGATCATGCCAATTAAGGCTTTCTCTTTATTTGGTAGTCTTTGAGTTAGACTTGAGGGACCAATTACCTACTCTAAGTTTTCTGCATCTTGGAAAATCAGTAAGCCTGATTTTTCTCTTCACCGTTTGCTAGGAGCCAAAGACTCACTATTTTTTGGTTTGAGAATATGATGGAATAAACGCAAAATGTCTCACTAAACTGTCTGCGGTTCTTTGTTATGAAGCAACAATCAGTTCATGCAATTTTCGACGTGATTTTCACTATGGGTCATCCGGAAACAATCTCTCTATGCTTTAGTACAGGGGTAAGACGACGTACATCTGACTCCCGTTACCCCACTGTAGGTGGGAGCCTTTGCGGCACTGGGGTAATGATGATGATGATTGTTTGCTGGGAGTCTTGCAATGTAAAAGAAAAGGTCAATCTTGATGCATGGTGCTAGATTAGTAGTTGTTCATTTTAAGTTCTTGTGGCTATTTTTAGTTGTTTAAGACTACTTGGGTTACACATTTGTTATTTTTCATGAACTCTAGAACTTTTTTATGCAATTATATTTATTAATGATGTTTAAAAAAATACTTCTAAGCCTTGAGGCATTTTGCACTTATGATTCAAGGCTCAAGTATAGTGGCGGTTTGATATGTAAGCCTCAGACGGTCAAACTTTGTGTAGTTCCTACAATTCAAAATGACTAACAATCACTGATTAATATGTCATAAATAAGTGCAATAAACCACTATCATAAGTTTACCTCTTTAAAGAAAAATCATCATCATTACCCCAGTGCCGCAAAGGCTCCCAACTACGGTGGGGTAGGGGGGGGGTTGGATGTACGCAGCCTTACCCCTGTACTAAAGCACAACGAGACTATTCCTGAATGACCCATGGTGAAAAAATCGCGTCGAAAATTGCATGGACTGACCGCCACTTCATACCAAAGAAGCGCAAACAGTTTAGTGAGTCATTTTGCTTTATTCCATCATATTCTCAGGCCAAAAAATATTTAGGATTTATTGCACATCAGAGAAAGTTGTTTAAATGAAAAAACGGAGAAAAAATGGATGAAACCTTGAAATTTTATATCCAGTAGGAATTTAAGTAAAAAATTAAAGCAGTTCTGTTATTATTTTCCATATAAAAAGAAAAAGTAGTCGCAGTTGTTTGAGTTATTCTGCTGGAAAGAAAGGGAAAAATAACGATATTAGCTCAGTACCATCCCACCTTCGCAATATATGTTCACATTTATGGAGGACAGGAGGAGTGCATAGTACTTGTAGGTTATGTGAACTTTTACGTAGATCCATGTCAACTAGATTTTAAGGCTTTCTGGCTCAGAGACTAATAGTTGGAAATAGTAGTTTCAATATGAATTTTGTTTAAAGTTAATCAGCGTAAGGAAAAACAAAAAATTGAGAAGTAAAAACATGAGGCTTAAGCCTCGCAAAATGCCTCAACTGTTTGAGGCTGAAGCCTTCCATTCACATAAGGCCAACACTTTCTTTCACTGCCTTACACTGAGGTGAGCCTCAAGGAGAACATAAAAAATGCCTTTTAAAACCAATTTCTTACCTTTGGTAATATTATTCTTTTCAGCTTTATTCATATAAATCCCCAATTACCTCAGTATTAAATTATTTCAACATGATCAGGTCTAAAAATTATGTGAATTCAAATGAAGTTTAGCTTATACCATTCACTTGTCCAGGTTGTCATACCACTAAGTTTACAAAGGAGAGTGGAAGGCTTGCTTCAGGAACATCTGGACAGAATCCAGCTTTCTGGGAAGTCGGGTATTATATCTAGTGAAACTGAAGCAACAGATAAGGTTGAAAGTGTAACTATGGATGAAAATCTGGATTCTTTCTTAGATGACTCTGTCATGGAAAAGGTTCTTCAAAGGCGAAGCTTGCGCATGCGCAATTTGCAGAGAACATGGCAGGTCTCACCCTCTTAGATTGTGAACTTATCTGACGTTTGTGGCAAGTGATAAAGTTCTTGCCACAGACTTTTCGAACTGGAAATTCTGATAAATTTCATCATCATTGTGCACATTATTCACTCTTTATTTGGAACTTTAATGACTAGGCCTGGCGTCCGTTCGGTTCTGGTTAAAAATTGATATAACCGTTTTAAAAGTTGTAGTTGTTAAACCCGGTTCGGTTCTACTAAACATGTAGTTCTTAAATTCGGTTCAGTTCTTACCTTTTTTCGGTTCCTTATAAATTTTTTTTATCCTTCTAAAATGAACACATTTTACCTTCAGTTACATAAAAGTATTCAAATTTCAAATCATGGAAATAAATTGTCAAGATTATGACCATTACAGTATACATACATGATACATCCAATGTTCACATATCACAAAAATATCCAAGTGCAATATAATATTCTTATATTGGTATTGCACCATAAGTAAAAAGTAATAAACCGGTAATATTAGTAAATTACTATAAACACATAATAACGTAATCAGCAACAACATTAATTCATTCTTGAGGTGGACTAAAAATTGCACCACCAGAGAAAAATTACAAAATAAAGCCTATTAAAAAATAGGGAGAACCTATATATGTTGATTAAAAAGACATGGGCACTTCCACGGTTTAGATTTTCAATATCAAAGCTTAGAAGAGTTGATGTGCTTAAGGGGAGAAGTTTAGATGAAAAAACCGAATAGCACCAAAAATTTCTTGACCGGAATGCCGTCTCGGCCACCTCCATTTGAGGTGATTACGGGTATAATGTTTTGATGAAATTTTGTGATCATGCTCTACATTAAGTGTAGATTATGTCTATCAAATTTCACTAAAAAATTCAACCAGAAAGTTAGTTAAACAAATTATTGAAAAACATTGCGCTTTATATATATATTTTAGCGCAATGTTTTCAATAATTTATTTAACTAACATCCCGATAGAATTTTAAGCCGAAATTTGGTGTACATACACTTCATGAAGAAAGCGCTCATAAAATTTCATCAAAATATTCCACCCGGAAGCACCTCAAATGGAGGTGGCCAGACAACGTTATTTTCATGTATGAGAGCTTCGGTTCCGGTGAGTTAGAATTTATTGGAACTGGAACCGAACCTGTTATTTACCATATGATCCGAACCGAAAAAGCAGAAGTATAAAATTATAGGAACCGAACCGGATAATTCGGTTTTCCTGGTTTTATGGTTTGAAGTCCCGGGCCTATTAATGACAACAATAATTATAGATTCATTATAATTATAGATTTTGTATCATAAGGCTTTAATTGTTTTATACTGTTTTGGGGATATTGCATTGGTAATTTAGGCTACTAACGTACTCAGTTCACTTGTTCTAATCGGAGGTGGATACAAAATTGTTGATGTGCGAAATTATATAAGCACTTTCAAGTTGATTGCACCCAAATTACTCTAAATAGCCAGGATAATAGTATAACTTTTGAATTTTGATTGGGTCAAAAACTCAAAATCTCCCCACTTCCGCCTACATTGATCCCCGCCGAGATCCTTTATTTTGTCAACAGGGTGATTGTGGTCTTATAGTTTCATGAAATATTTTCTAGAAAGATGTATAGATCTGCACCTTAAAATTGCATAAATTAGTGCATGTTGAGCAATGCCTTCGGGACCTTCAATAAATATTTATGTATTCCTCTTCCGTTTCATCTTATGACTTATTCTTTGCTCATTCATTTCTTGCACTTAGCAATGCCTGTGCTGATTAATACAGGAGTCACCCGAAGGGAAAGAAATGATGGGTATCCGAGAATCACTTCCATCATGTAAGGAAAAAGAAAGGTTGCTTCAAGCAATTGCTCGCAATCAGGTCAAATACACGACTTTACTATTTTCTTTGACTTGATACATGTTTGGTACTTGCTTCAATGCTGGTGTTATTCTTACAGTAGACCAGAAAGACTCAATTTGAAAAACGTTGTTATGACTTATTAGCATGGGGGTTGAGTGGCCGATTTGTTCATGTTAGTGCCTACATGAGAAGAGTTTTTTCCCTGAAGGAAACTTGAAGACTTAATCTTGTTAAGTTCATACGTTATCAAGCCTGGAGTTATATATATTATTAATTAATTAGGTTAAACCCATAGTCTTGATGATCAAGTAAATAGAGTCTTATTCTATTTCTATTACAATACTACTATTAGAAAGTTAGGATCTTAATTGAAATAGTAATATGAATATGAGGCTATTATGATTACTGCTAACATGAAATTAATACTAATACAATACAACTATTATGACTTCTGCCCTATTGCCACCTCGCCCATAACAGAAACTTCCGAAGCTTTTTATTTTACTCTGTAACAGCTTCTGTTTGGAATGGAAGATAGTCTTTATCTACCACTCTCCCAGCCTACACAATATCTCCCACTACACAATATCTCCCACTCAAAACTCTCAAAAAAGATATCTCCCACTCAAAGATGGATTTAGGAAAACTTTGGTTGATGGGTTAACCGTTAATGACATAAACATTGTACAGCTCATTTTTGCCTGTCACGAATGCAGTGCTCTTTTTATCTTAAAAGGGAACTTTAAATATTTGATTTAGGACAATTGTTGAGTTAGGACATTTTTTCCCTGCGTGGGAGGGGTGCAGGGTACTATATTCTTGACTTCACCATTTTCTCTGAATTTAAAGTCTTCCGAGTTCCAACTTCAAGCCGATGAGAAGATCATCTAACTTTTCATTTATTAGAAGTAATTGATTCAGTTGATTGCAAGAAAAGGCTTATGTGATTTACATTTGCTTGAATTGGAGCTTTTTTTAACGACAGTGAACACACCTAAGCAAAATCTAGAACATAAAGAAGTTTGAGGATCAAGCTTATGGCCATGTCAGTCATGTGCTCGTCATATGATTGTACTTTAATTGTTATGTAAAATAAAATCACCTAAGCTATCTGTTAACGTGATAAAGTTAAAAGATGCATTGATTCTTAAATATGAATTTACTAAAAAATGTGCTTATTCGAAATTGTAAGCGGATAAATTATACTATCGTATCATCTTAATTACAAATATTTACTTCCTTACCAGAGCCTATAATTTATCTATACTTACACAGGTTGTGGTCATTTCTGGTGAAACCGGATGCGGTAAGACTACCCAACTCCCTCAGTACATTTTGGAATCTGAAATTGAATCTGGTCGTGGTGCATTCTGTAGCATAATTTGTACGCAGCCTCGAAGAATATCTGCAATGGCAGTTGCAGAGAGAGTGGCTACGGAGAGGGGTGAACTTCTTGGAGAATCAGTATGCCAGTTCCCTTTTTAAAGTTCTTCGATGTAGAATGACAGTTCTCTTTTTGTGAAACAAATTGCTTTGGATTGTCCCATATTTTTTAGCTGGCTTATTTACTTCTAATTTGACAGTTTTTTTTTTATTATTATTATTATTTCATTGCCGTTCTTTCACCGATTGGTTTGACAGGTTGGTTATAAAGTGCGATTGGAGGGGGTGAAAGGAAAAAATACACATCTTCTCTTTTGCACTAGTGGTATTTTGCTACGAAGGCTTTTAAGTGACCGCAATCTTGATGGTATTACCCATGTCTTTGTTGATGAGATTCATGAGCGTGGTATGAATGAAGGTAATACGTTAACATATCTGGTCACATCTTTCTCTTTCAAGAGAACCCATATTCAATTTGGTTCTGTTGTGGTGTTATTTCTCATCTTTGCAGATTTTTTACTGATTGTGTTGAAGGACCTTCTTGCTCGGCGTCGAGATTTGAGACTGATTTTAATGAGTGCTACCCTAAATGCTGATCTATTTTCTAGTTATTTTGGTGGAGCACCTACTATTCACATTCCAGTACGCTTTTTGTTCTTGCATAAATTATTAGTTGCCGTTCATTCTGTCCCAGATGTAATAAAGCTTATGCTAAAATGAAGGGGGGGGGGGGGGGGGGGCTTGTTGATTGATATTAAGTATTACATGAACTCCATGGCATACATTGCTGTGCATAAAATATGTTGTGTGACGTGTAAAGCATTGGAGGAGAGTTTTATGAAGATCTGCTCTTTTTTGTGCAATCAATTGGTTGAGAATATATGAATTATTTGAATTACTATTACATCACATCCACACACAATGAGAGCATGAACAAAAGGTCTATGTGGGGCAACATTCTTGAACCCAAGCTATGGTTAGGCTCTGTCAGATTGAGTAGTTTGCTACTTTATTTTAGGAGTCTTGAATTTCTCAAAACGAGATCAGCTCATTTTTTTTGTTGAAAATAACCTGAGTCCAAATGTTATCTTGGCACCCATAATGTAATGTGAGTCACCTAAGTCAATCATCCAGGTTTTGGAACTGTGGAAGGCAGTGGAAAGTTGCAGCTGGTGTACTGTTTACTGATGACATAATTAGTTGTTGAAAAGGAGGGTTGGAAATGTTCTCCTTCAGTATTTTCCATAGCACACAGAAAACAAATACGACAAGCAAAACAACAATAAGTGAGCAATTCCAACCAGCCTAATAGCATCAATTAAAAAGCTATAATCAATAAAAATTTACAATTCCGTCTAGCACTATAGAGGGGGTCCTGTAGTGAATGGGGATGGGAATAGAAGCTGCAAACAGTAGTATTACCGATGAAATAAAAAGAGGAAACATTTTTTAGTGGAAGAAAGCAGCTAGGGGTTTCTTGAACTTGGCACCTATGCCCTGTAAATAATTATAATTACAAGTTATTTATTTATTTAAAATAACTATTACATTGGACTGCTATTTACAAGTAAACTTTCCAACATGCACCCATAAGCTTGTCTTATACAACTATTCTGTACACATGGTGAATACACGACCTTTAGCATGCTTTCATGGATTCCTGACTGCACTTGAATATTTGTTACGTTTTTCAATTTACACCCATTGACTTCTATATTCACAACACTTATTGGCCTCAAACTTCAAGGATAGTGTATTTGTTTCCGATTTATTTTATTCCAAGGTTATAGAATGTAGAACCCTGTTGGAAAACAGAGCATGCATACATGGCTTGTGCTAATGGGGCATGCAAAAATTGTAGGGCTTTACGTACCCTGTAAGAGTACATTTCCTTGAAGATGTATTGGAAGTGACCGGGTATAAGCTGACATCATTCAACCAAATTGATGACTACGGCCAAGATAAGATGTGGAAAACACAAAAACAGCTAGCGCCCCGGAAAAAGAAAAACCAGATTACTGGGCTTGTTGAGGTGGGTAGGCACTAAACATACTATCCACTTTTGTTTATGATTTTTTTTATTTAATGTTTTGCCTTCTGTACTTTACTACTTTCTGCTTGCACTTCATTATGGTTCCCTTGTTTTAACGGACAGGTCCTATTTATGAGACTGAAAAGCTTGATTCATTCCATGAAATGATATCCTATTTATACAACATTGTAGAGCTAGGCTACTAATTATAATATTAAATACAAAGATTTGTAACTGAAACATTTAATACAAATATTCTAATTTATTTTGTAACTCATGTAACTGATCTCTAGAGCTGTCTAGATTCTTCTGTCTATATGCCCCCGCAAGCCAGGTATTCTATCAGTGCTGAGAATCCTGAGCTTGTCACGTAGAAAAACAAACCGTTGTCGTGAAAGGGGTTTGGTGAGAATGTCAGCTAGTTGATCATGCGAGGGGATATGAAGAACCCGAAGAAGGCCACGTTGCACACGTTGACGAACAAAATGGAAATCAATGGCAACATGTTTCATTCGGGAATGGAATACCGGATTGGCAGAAGAGGTGGTAGCGCCTTTATTATCACATAGAAGAACTGGAGGAGAAGAAGGGGAATGTCGAAGCTCATGAAGAAGTGACTCAATCCAAAGAGTTTCAGATGCAGCAGTGGATAGGGCCCGATACTCTGCTTCGGTTGAGGATTTGGCAATTGTGCGTTGCTTGGAGGACTTCCATGAAATAAGCGATTCTCCGAGAAAAATGGCATAAGCACTGGTAGAGGATCGGTCATCTGGATTTCCCGCCCAGTCTGCATCAGCATAAGCACACAATGAAAGGTGAGAACTCCGACGGAGATATAAACCATGAGAGGCTGTTCCGTGAAGATACCGCAAGAGACGTTTCATGAGCTGCCAATGGTTCACCGTGGGTTTGTGCATAAACTGGGCTAGCTTGTTGATGGCAAAGGCCGTATCAGGTCGGGTGAGGTTTAAATACTGAAGTGATCCAATAACTTGACGATAGAGAGTGGCATCACAAGAACCTGAGCTATCAAACAGAGTCAAGGAAGCTGAGGAAGCTAAAGGCGTGGATACTGGATTCGCCTCGTGCATGTTCAACACCTGTAATAAATCTGTAATGTACTTGTGTTGATCAAGAAAGAGTCCATCTGATGTAGGGGTAACCTGTATGCCCAAAAAGTAATGTAATGACCCCAAATCCTTAATGGAGAATTTTTGTGCTAACAAGTTAATAGTCCGATGAATCAAGTCTGGTGTAGAACCCGTAACAATAATATCATCCACATATACCAACACATAGATATAAGAGGGATGAGAAGAAAAGATGAAGAGGCTGGCATCAGAGACTGATTGATGAAAACCAAGGGATAATAGAAATCCACTAAGAGATTGGTACCATACTCGAGGTGCTTGTTTGAGACCATAGATGGATTTCCTAAGACGACACACTCTTCCAGAGCCATCATTGAAACCAGGGGGTTGTTTCATGTAAACCTCCTCTTGAAGAGCACCATGTAGAAAAGCATGGTTGACATCTAGTTGGTTTATGTGCCAGCCATGAGAAAGTGCAATGGTCAGAACAACCCGAATAGTAACTGGTTTGATGACTGGGCTAAAGGTCTCAGAGTAATCAATCCCCGGGCGCTGATGAAAGCCTTTAGCCACCAATCGAGCTTTGAAACGATCCAAGGAACCATCGGGCTTATATTTCACAGTATAAACCCATTTGCAGCCAACAATGTTCTGACCAGGATGAGCGGGTACAAGTTCCCATGTCCCTTGTTGAACCAAAGCATCAAATTCCACAGACATAGCCTTACTCCATTCAGGTACCTGTAAAGCTTGAGAAGCACAAGTAGGAATAATATGATGAGGTAATGGTGAGTGTGTGACAACATTAGCTTGTTTACGAGAACGCAGGGTCATTGGGTGGGTACGTTTGGGTGGAGAGGCTTTTGGATCATGATGATGACCCAAGGTAGATATGGGATTATTTGTAGTGGGAGTAATGGTTGAGGGGTTGGTGTTGGTTACATTAGGTAAGGATGGAGTAGTTGGGTTTTGTTTGGGCCGGCGGTGATAAGTGATGAGGACCGGTGGGTTAGAAGCTGGTGGAGTGTTATGAGGAGCAGGGTTAGGGGAGTCTTGTGTTATTGGGGTACGAGTAGTAGGAGACGCCTTTGCTAGTGATGTACCTGAGATAGGAAGATAAGAGATAGGAGGTTGAAGCCAATTGTCAATTTCAGAGGACAGATCTGTAACAGGTGTTGTATTATTAGAGAAAGGGAAGACAGACTCATTGAACACCACATGCCGACTAAAAAATATGCGATTGGTAGTAGGATCAAGACAGCGATAAGCGCTTTGTTGATCGCAATACCCAAGGAAAATACAAGGTCTGGACCGTGGTTCTAACTTATGAGCTGCATAAGGACGGAGCCATGGAAAACATTGACATCCGAAAATAGCAAGTTTTGTGTAATTGGGAGGTTTTTGAAAAAGTTTTTCATAGGGAGTACAAAAACCTAGAGATGCTGTTGGTTGCCTATTAATTAGATATACAGTAGTTAAAAAGGCGTATGACCAATATTTTAACGGCATTGAAGAGTGGTGAAGTAAAGTGATCCCTGTTTCTACAATATGACGATGTCGGCGTTCAGCGAAGCCGTTATGCTCAGGGGTATATGGAGGGGTCAGTAAGTGAGTAATACCACAAGAGGCCAGAAATTTCCCTAGGGATATGTATTCACCCCCTCCATCTGAATAAACCATTTTAATAGATTTTTGAAAAAAGTTTTCTACGATCTTCTTAAATTGTTGAAAAATTGAAGTTACCTCAGACTTGTGAGTGATAGTGTAAAACCAAATGTATTTTGTGTAGTGATCAACAAAAATAACATAATAACGAAAACCATCCACAGAATTAATATGTGAGGGACCCCAAACATCTGTATAAATTAAATCAAGTGGACCTGAACTTGAAAGGGAAGATTTAGCAAAAGGTAACTTGTGACTTTTATTACTTGCGCATGAAGTGCATAAGGACAAATCCTTATTAACATCTTTAAAGGAAATACCTAATGAGGAAATAACTTTTTGAGTGATGGGAAGGGCAGGATGTCCTAAACGACAATGCCATTTATTCAGAGAAAATTTTGTAGTAACATTGACACATGGTGATGAAGGAACAGGAACATCAGGCAAGCTGTAGACGTCACCTTTATTCATACCCCGTAACAAAATTGCTCCCGTTTTCCGGTCCTTGACAAGACAAAAAGAAGGGTGAAACTCGATTAGTACATCATTGTCACGACATAATTTGGCAACTGAAATTAAATTAGTATGAATAGAAGGAACAAAAAGAGTATTAGGTAAGGAGAGAGAATGAAGGGTCATATTCCCAACTTGTGCAATTTCAAGACTTTTACCGTTGCCAATAATGAGGGAGTCTGTGCCGGTGTAATCGGACGCCAGGGTAAGATTGTTTAAATTATTGGTGACATGATTAGTTGCTCCCGAGTCCAGCAACCATCCGGTTCTCCTGGTCGTGGCAGTATTGGCCTGGGGGGATAATTTTGTTGTTCAAACCTGTGCCAACAGTTTATAGCGAGATGGTACGGTTTGCTACAAATTTGACATATAACGGCACCCGGACCGGTATTTCCCCCAAAATTAGTACGCCTGCCCCCGGGATTATTATTTCCACGTCTATTTGAATTGTAGAAGTTGTTGGGACGTGGGCCTCGATTTTGATTTTTGAAAAATTTATTCTGAGTATTGGGCCTATTGGGTAGAGTCTGAAACTGGGCTGATGGACCTGGGCCTAATATAGACGCGTTCTGGTCTAGACTTCTGCGAACGGTCATTGCGACCGAACTGTCTTCTTCCTCTTTTATTTCTACCGTAGCTGCGTTCGCAGTAACAACAGCCGCAGAATTCAAGAGCTCCCTCCTTCGCAACTTGTCTTCAAATCTGACCAGTAAGGAGTGGAGTTCTTCAAAGTTAGTTTCATCTGGGCGGATGGAGTTCTCCACGGATTCAAACTCGGGACGAAGACCCTCCAGGGCTTGAATGGCAAAGTCTTCATCGTCAACAGGTCGGCCGGCCATGGCTAGTTCATCCGCGAGGGTGCGAAGGTGGTGAAGATATTCTGCTACAGGTTGCGACCCCTGTTTAGCATGGCGGAACTGGTCTTTAAGACTTCGGATTTTGGAAGCTTACCGGGTCCCGTATAGGCGTTCCAGTGTTTTCCAGACGGAGGCGGAGGTCTTTGCAGACCCAACCAGCGGTTTGCAGGCGGAACTGAGTGAAGATACAAGAGTGTGCCGCACCAGACGGTCCTGTCTCTTCCATCGCAGAAAGTTGGCAGCTTCAGTTTCTGGAGGAGGACTGATTTTTTCATCAATATACTGATCTAGATGAGACCCGAACAGAAGGTCCATTACTTGGTCTCTCCATACAAGGTAATTTGATCCATCTAGTTTTTCTGGGAATTGGTTAGGGCTGAGCATAACAAGGCCATCCGGGGTTAGGGGATTATTGGCTGAGAGAGATGATGTTGAGTTATCATTCTCATCTTCTGGACTTTTGTCTCTATTATTTTCATGAGCCATGGGCAGAGAAAGGTGATGCGGGGGGAAGGTTCAGTGAAGGGAATAGGCCGTTTAGGCCTCTAGAGGCTCTGATACCATGACAAAGTTTAGAATAAGGAGGAATTGAGACTGAAAAGCTTGATTCATTCCATGAAATGATATCCTATTTATACAACATTTTAGAGCTAGGCTACTAATTATAATATTAAATACAAAGATTTGTAACTGAAACATTTAATACAAATATTCTAATTTATTTTGTAACTCATGTAACTGATCTCTAGAGCTGTCTAGATTCTTCTGTCTATAGAAATCAGATAAGCATTTTCACGTTCATTTATATGCTTCATAATCTTTTACATTTACCAAATATTTATGCTGCTGCTTTCCATTGCAACCTTGCATCATTCCCTCTAAATTTGAAAGGTATATTGCTTGCACATAAAGACCTAAAGAATGCTTACTCATTTGTATCATATCCCAGGATGCACTAAACCGATCGAACTTTGAAAGCTATAGTGCGAGGGCACGGGATTCCCTGGCATCCTGGTCTCCTGAGTCTGTAGGATTCAATCTTATTGAGGCTGTCTTATGTCATATATGTCGTAAGGAAAGACCAGGAGCTGTTTTAGTATTTATGACTGGGTGGGAAGATATTAGCTGTTTGAGGGGACAGCTTAAGGCTCATCCTCTATTGGGAGACCCCAATAGGGTGTTGGTGCTTACATGTCACGGTTCAATGGCAACTTCAGAGCAGGTAAGATTGGTCCGCATTCCTTACAGTTTTGGGTTTGTTTTCTCATCACAGTGAAGAGATTGTTGCATGAGCTTCCATATTTTTTAGTTTGATTGTTGCTCTAATGATTGTTCATTTTTTCATGATAAATGGGAGTGATACATGAACTTATTTGATGAAAGTAAATTGATTTTGACAATGACTAATTCACTTAACGTATAAAATTTCAATTCATTCTCTCCAGAAAGTTATGTTTCTGTTTGTATCTGCACCCAGTTATGGATTATTACTGATTACTCGTCTGTAGGGGGGTATGATTCTGTAATGATTTTGTAGTGATTATAATTGTTACCAACAAGAATCATATTTTAGTGGCCATCTTGAAATAATTGGAAAATAGTACATTAATACTTCCTAATGATTTACACTTTTACCTTGGACTTATTTGCACTTCATGTTTACCCAATTCTTGGGTTTTTATATGCATGTCACAGATTCCCTAGAACAATGCACTCCATTGCCTTATGGTTTATTATAATAGTTGTTTACCAACAGAAACTCATATTTGAGAGGCCTCCTCAAAATGTTCGGAAAATTGTACTTGCTACGAATATGGCTGAGGCAAGTATTACTATCAATGATGTAGTGTTCGTAGTTGATTGTGGAAAAGCAAAGGAGACAACTTATGATGCACTGAATAATACTCCTTGCTTACTACCTTCGTGGATATCTCAAGCCTCTGCTAGACAGGTAGTCGTTTTCTCCCTTTGTTATTGTGATCAGAAAGTCATCTTACAGATAGCAAGTCTGTTTAAGCACCATCTTATACATGATGCTCCAGTATCCACTTTAGATTGTCCCCGTTTTCCCCATGAAAGGTAAAATGAAATTGTTTTAGATCATTGACTTGGTATATCAGAATATCACGGAGTTTAGCTTTATGTCAGTACATGGTCACATACAATTTGCTTTATGCTTAGTTTTGACAATCAGCTTGTCCTTTGTTCCCTTCTTGTTTATCTAATCATCACCCAAAAAGTGGAAAAAGAATTGTAATGGGTCAATGTATTAGCTTCACTATATGGGCTGGCTCATGTTAGTAGACCAGGGCTCTATTTCCCTGTATCAATGAGATACCTCCGGCGGTAGAGTTCTAGCAAAAGCTCGGGTTATAAACAGAGCAGTAGCATTGCCGTGCATTCCAAACAAGTATTATATGGCTCAAAGCTTCCAAGTTGTGATTAGGATTTCCATGTATGATAGTCAACTATATTGATACGTAAGTTCCTTTCTGATGTATCAAAAAAAATATGGATACGTAAGTTGTTAAAGAAGAAGCTAAGATGTTGCCGGACTCTTATCGCACCCGATGATGGTTGGATACTCCTGATAAAAAAACAAAAGAAGGTAAGGTGGTGTACAACCTATAAGTAGAACTGACCAACATTCTGTCTCAGGACTCATTCTAGATGTTATGCACATACCTGACCTGTGTAACCCCTGGTATATGTTGGACTGGAGGTACTAAGTACTAACACCATCAGCAGCGATGCTGTCATCTCAAGATCTGGTAACCATTGTAAGCATGATCAAATAATATAGGTGAAGCATTTTAATTGATTTTGGTATCACTTTTTTCTTCAGGCCTAGTTTGCTACATCTGTATTATACTATTATGGCAGCTTATCTAAACATAAGTGGCCAATGCTTTACATTTTTGATATTATTTTAATGGCATGGGAATTTGAACCTTTTACTCGAGTTAGGTTTCCACCAAGTTTTCCTCAAATACAAAAGGCTGAATACAAATCTTTCTTTGCATATGAATTTTCAGAGAAGAGGCAGGGCTGGTCGTGTGCAGCCTGGTGAGTGCTACCACTTATATCCACATTGTGTTTATGAAGCTTTTGCCGAGTATCAATTACCTGAACTTCTAAGAACTCCTCTAAATTCACTTTGTCTGCAAATAAAGAGTTTACAAGTTGGAAATATTACTGAATTTTTGTCCGCGGCTCTTCAACCACCAGAGGCATTGGCTGTAAGTATTCACTCTTCTATATAAGTTGTTAGTTGTGACATGTTTCCAATGCTATATTGCAAATAATTATCAATACACTTTTAATATTTGGTTAAGTGTTTATTTATATTTTCTCGTTTTATTTTAAACTTTGGATGTTGTTTGTACTTCAGAGGGAATGAAATTGATTGTGAGTGAGGATCTTTCTCACCTGATGTAGACCCATTCCCTTTTTATATTTCAATTCTTGTGGATTTTTTTCTTTCAGAAATAGGCCTTTTCATATTGTGGATTTTGTTCTCTTCATATTTAGAACATTGTTTTCAGCAATGTGATTGACAAAAGATCTAGGTCATGAATAACCATGTTAATTCTTTTAGAGTACATTGATTAATCTAAACGTCCCATGGTTTTTTCCCCAACTCATTTTCTTACATTTCCTTTTAGTAGCTTCTTTTTTTTGGGATTTTAATCTATCAAAAGAAATGTTTGTGTATCTCTGTTTATTCTTATTGAAGTACATGGACTAGCCTAAGCTCCCGCGTGTTTTTTCCAACCCATTCCCATCCATTTCCTTTTAATAGAAATGAAGCAAGGTAGAAGCAGAAATGAAATCATCTTCCTTAGAATCAGATATTACAGAGTATTTATACAGGAAGTAGTCATAGCTAACATAACCGAAGCCTAACAGAAAGCAGTTACATTGCTTTACAAAGAAATACACGTGTAGTTTTCCTACACTATTCCTAACATTCCCCCCTCAAACTGAGGGTGATTGAGTTGGAAAGTCAATCACACTGAGTTTGTTTCTGAACTCAAGAAAGGTGGAAGCAGATAGAGGCTTGGTCAACACATCTGCAATTTGCTGGGAGGCTGGAATGTGAAACACTTCAAGCTGTTTGAGTTGGACTTTCTCTCGTACAAAGAAAAGATCAATTTCCATGTGTTTTATACGAGTATGCAGAACAGGATTGTGAGCTAGTTGCACTGTACTAAGGTTGTCACAGTAGATTCTGGGAAGAGTGAAAGGAGCTTGAAGTTCTTTGAGTAGGAATTGGACCCATAAAATTTCTGATGTAGTATCTGCTAGGCTTCTATATTCAGCTTCTGTTGAAGATCTGGCTACCCTTAGTTGCTTTCTGGACCACCAAGAAATAATATTAGGGCCAAGAAAAATGCATGACCCAGATGTAGACTTCCTGTCTGTAGGATCTGATGCCCAATCAGCATCACAAAAAGCTGTGATAGGTAAAGGTGTTTTTGTCAAAGGAAGAGGTTTGATCAGTAATCCATGAGTGATGGTTCCAGAAAGATAGCTCAGGATATGCTTCACAGCTTTCCAATGTTCTTGTAAGGGATTGGCCATAAACTGACACACTTTATTTACAGCATAGCTGAGTTCAGGTCTGGTTAAGGTAGCATACTGTAGGGTTCCAACAACAGATCTGTAATGAGAAGGATCAGGAAGAGAATTGATAGAGTATATCTAGAGAGAAGTGAGAGCTAGAGAGAGAAGTGCAATAATATGCCTCAATAGAATGATTTGGTAACCCCTATAACTACTCCCAAGGGGAGTATTTATAGAGAAAATTAGGGTTGGGCTCCCAAGCCTTGGGCTTGGGAGGCCCATTTACAACTGGACCGCTACTGGGCCGAATACAAAGCCACTAATGGGCTGTACAAATGAGTAAGTATAAAATCCGATTCTGTGAGGTCTTCGTGGCCGACGAGGGCGTGGCCGACGAGGGCACGGCCGACGAGGGCACCCGGGTTCCTTGGACTCAGGACCATAATCCGAGTTGGCCCCTTTTCGGCCGACGGGGGCGTCTTGGCCGACGAGGGCGCCACTCTGTCGTCTTGTGCTTTCTGTTCTTCCGAGTATGTGGGTCCGGGAGCTCAGACCCATATACTCCATCAGGAGTCCCCCACTCTCTAAGCTGAGACGTAGACGAAGTGAAGGAGAGTAGATTCCTGTGCTTTGTTGCCCTTGGCCGTTACCTGTTCCTCGTTGTGGACAGGGAGGCCGTTGTTTACTTGATGTCTTCGTTTTGGGACGATGAGTGTCCTACTTTCAATGGTGGCCGTTGAAGGCATGTTTTGCTTGGGCGCTGATGGTTGAAGTTTGTGTTTGGGCCGATGAGGCCACTGAAGTTGGTCCTTGCTTCGAGGACGATGGCGTCTTTCCCTTTGGATGGCCGATGAGGGTGTTTGCGCACTCCTTTTGGCCGTCGTTGATTAGCTTTCATGTTTCTGGCCGAAGAGCCCCTCGTGATTAAGTGATGGCGGAGGACGATGAGTGTCCTTGCCTTTGGTGGCCCGTTGGCCGTTGCAGATGACGTTGTGTGCCTTCGGTCGACGAGGTGCAGTGTGATGCGTGGCCGATGTGGCCATGCTCTGTGGTTACCTTGTTTGCATTTTCTTTCGTTTTGTTGAGGCCGGTGTAGTCCCCCAGTCCCCCACTGCTTCAGGCCGAGGAGTGTGAGGGGTGAAGGAGTTGCTTGAGTCCCTGGCCGAAGCGGCCTCCCCGTAGTCCCCCTGAATCCAACTCTCATGGCGATTTTCTGGCCAAGGTAACCCTGTGGGAGAACCCTTGTGCGCAGATCGCTTGTAGAGAGTTATCATCAAAGATCATGACGAGGAGCCGATGGCTTGTGGGCTCTTGGGTCCTGTGATCTTGTGGCCGTTACGTTCCTGGCCGTTGCCGTCTCCTTATTGTTTGGCAGTTGTGATCTTGGCGAGCAAGTGGGACGTTGTGGGCGCTTGCTGACATTTTGTAAAGCCAGTGAGCGTGTGTAGGCCGTAGAGTCCGTCCTGCCAGTGGGCTGTTGATATTGAGTTTGGCCGGTGGTGACGTGGTGGCCCCCCATTGGTGGCCGTTGGTGTGGCCATTGGGGGGGTGCCACGTGTAGTGACCGTTGGGTGTGGGGTTCTATAAATACCCCTCCCCCTCCGACGAGAAAACGTATTTGCATTCTGAATTTGTCGAAGTGCTGGCCGATTTTCTAGAGAGATAAACTCCCAAGCCTGTTCTTCGTGTTCTTCGTTGTTCAAGGTTAGTGTTCATCGCGATCTTCCTCACTTTTCATACTTTGCTTCCTAGGTTGTTGATCTAGTGTTAGGCGTTTGAACACCCTTAGATCTTAAGTTAGTCTCCTTAGGCCCGTAGTAGTAGTTATGAAGAGCTTGAACGAAGACTACTACCCTTACGACGACCAACCCTCCACGAGGTCGCTTGACTACGAGGTGCTCGAGGAGTTTGAAGAGGAGATAGAGCGTTTGAGTCCCTACAAATCCGGAGAGCCGATGGACGAGGAAGGCGAGGACGAGGAGTCCGCCTCCTCTTCAAAGGGTGAGGACGTAGGTGCGTCCCGAGTGGTGGACGACGTCCACTTCTGCTGTCATTCCGTGCCCAAGGCCGGTGTCTGCCGTGAAGGGAGCAGCTAAGCCGAAGAGGGTGAGGAGGCCGAAGAATGGGCCGGGCCTCTCCTATCTGGACCTCACCAACATATTCCTGATCAAGTCGGAGAGCAGTGCGGCCGACTATCTTGTCGCCCAGATGTACGTGGGGCCGTTCGAGCGGGTTAGGGCACCCAGGCCGACGGACCATATTCTACTTCCGCCACCGGGATACTTTGGAGTATACCCGATGAGTTTTGCTAAGGGGTTGAGGTTCCCCCTTCACCCTTTCATCATTGAGTATCTGGACATGGTGGGGCTTCCTCCGGCCTTGCTGACGCCGAACAGTTATTCCTTGATGGTGGGCTTTTTACTTCGGTGTGAGGAGCTGGGCTACAGGCCGACAACGGCCTTATTCATGAATTTGTACCAGATCGGCCGAGGAAGCCACAAGAACTGTGCGGCCTATGCTACTCTTCAACAGCTGCCGAAGAAGAGGAGCTTCACGGATTTGCCTACGTCCATTCATGGGTGGAAGAGCAAGTTCGTGTTTGTGTCCATTGGTGAGAGTGGCACCGAGTTCCCCTCTCTCGGCCATACCGGGAGGTTCAATCTCCATGACCCGCCGAAGAGCTCTATCTTGGACGCTCAGGTGGAGGCTTTCCTGGAAGGGGGGCCGAGGAGCGTGAAGGATTACGTTACTGAATACAAGATGACCGCCCTCGGCTTCTTCAGATACCACCTGTATGGAGATAAGGAGGATGACCTCCAACTCTGGCCGAGGATGACCACCACATTTGAAGAGGCCGACGGCCCGGATTTGGGCATCCCTGCTGAGGCCGATGGTAATTATTTCTTCGGCTTTCTGTTTTTATGTTTTTTTTCTTTGCCTTACTAATCCATTGTGTTTTTCCTTTGTAGATTTTGCCATGGACCGACGTTCCATAATGGCTATTGCCAAGGCCAAAGCGGCCGAGGCGGCCAGACGTGCCGCGGCCGGTGGGAGCGGGGCTACTGCTGATGCGGCCCCAAAACCTGCTCCATCGAAGAAGAAAAGGCCGGCCACTGACGGCCAGAAAAAGTTAACCGAGGCCGGCCTGAGCTTCTCGAAGAAGACGAAGGGGGCTCCTTCCCCTTCTCCGGCTACTGAGGCCGGTACTCTGGCTGTCCCCAGCGTGGACGATAGTGGTCCTGTCGTGGACCTTACTGCTGCTGGTGATGCTGCTCCATCACTGCCTCTCGTCCAGGAGCCACGGACGAAGAGGGCCGGCAAAGAGATTGCAGGTGCCACCTACCAGAAGATGGTAGAATACCCCGTCGGCGGGGGTGTCTTCGATGACGTCGTCCTTGGCCACGACGTCCTGGCACAGGCCATGCCGGCCAAGGATCGGGCTTACCTGAGGAAGCTCGGGGACGTGAATATCTACGAGGGCGGCATGGACCTCCTCGTCCAAGTAAGTTACCTTCCTTATGCGTTGTCTTTCTCGTCGTCTGTGTGAAACCCTTTGCCTGACTTTTGTTTCCCTTGTTTCTGCAGAGTGCCTTCATGCTAATGGAGAGCCACAAGAGGCAATACCGAGAGATAGCTCGCTTGAAGGAGCTGGAGTAGAAGGCCGCCTCGGCCG